ATAATAAAGTATGGTATCAGAATCCCACCTTATGGCTATAAAACATTAAGCTCCTTGAGGCAACAGGATGCTTGCTGTTTTCTTTTAATCCACCAGCATTTCAGAATCTTGTACTGCCAATTTTAGAAGAAGTAAAAGATGAGAATGTACTGTCCTCTCTTCCCTGGCCTGACCCAGCCTCCCTGATTTGTTTCAATATCCAGAGGCTTCTCTATGTAAGCCATCTCCTGTATTTTGATTTTTTCCACATTTCACCATGTTTATAGTTCTTCTCCATTTTCTTCTAGGAAAAAGTGTGCAGACAACAAATGCATGTTCTGACCGTATGTGAGCACCAAAATTTTGACAGCGTTCTCATGTCCATCAGTAAAATTCCTTCCATGAACCTATCCCTAGAAAATGCAAAAATTATTGATAAATATAGTTCAGTGATCAACTTCTCCTCTGTAGCCTACAACACATTAGACATTAGTTTGTCGATGGGCATTAATACAGCCCAAAGTCCTCATTCATTCTTGACAGTTCTATCATATTACTCCGTAAGATGCTAAGATATTAGTTGCTGGAGTGGGGGCAGGGGAGAAGGACTTGATAGAGATGGGAAACCAAGCTGCCTTGCAAAAATTCACAGCTGCAGCTTTCTGTAATCATACTCCTCTCTCCAGTGGACTTTGAAAAGACAAATTCGTAAGAGTTATTTAGTCATAAAAGGGAATCAACTCCTAAGTCCGGCTTCCTGAAGACCTTAGAAACTGAATTACCGCAGCACTCCCTAAGGTCCAAAGCACAGATTTTTGTTCCCCTCCCACATCCCTATCCCAAAGAAAAGAGTTTTTCCACTAGCTAACCTAATTAAAAACATTCTCAGAATAGAACACAAAATGTTTCTGGTTTGAATACGAGCCTATTTTCAGGGAAAAAAAATCCATGAATTGCATATTTACAGGTTGATATTACAACATCAGGGAAACTATATGTTTGAGGTCTTAAATGCATATAAAAATAAGTAAATAAAATGTGCAAGGGTAGTGTGCTCTTTCTTGATGTTGTTCTGCCTACCTTTTCAATTTGTTAACTAAATTAAGGGGTGAATTCTTAAAAGGAGCAATACACCATCCCATAGAAAGTCACTGGTTATCTCTGAACTCGAACTTAGATTTTTAAATCCTGTCTAGGTAAATTACCTTTCCAGTGCAGGGTATTTCCTTTTAGGAGATTCCTTGGGAAGAGTCTCCAGGGAACTGACTAACTTTTTAATGGTTCACTCAGATTAAGAGGAAGGAAATGTGAACTCCTTTGGGGGGAGGAGGCACCACTCTAGGCTGTCTGCATCCTGTAATTCTTCCCAAGTCCGTGAATCATACTTTTAAGACTCCTTTTCAAGGGCATTTGTCTTCCTTTAAGAGAAGGCCAAAGCAGAAAAGGCAAGTTTTAAAATAGGTCTCAATCAAGCTTTAGCCATTAAAAACAATTGCATGATTCTCTCGCTGACTACCCAGGAAAGGTTGTGCCAGATCCCTTACCTGGATGTCTCCCCTCACCTTGCACAATATTCTTCCTTTCTTTGGTTTCAGAATTTGGGAGGCCAAGACAGGTGGATCTCCTGAGGTCAGGAGTTCGAGACCAGCCTGGCCATCATGGCGAAAACCCATCTCAACTAAAAATACAAAAATTAGCTCGGCATGATGGCAGGTGCCTGTAATCACAGCTACTCAGGAGGCTGAGGTGGGAGAATCACTTGAACTCAGGAGGCAGAGGTTGCAGTAAGCCGAGATCGTGCCATTGTACTCCACCCTGGGCCACAAAGCTAAACTCCATCTCAAAAAGAAAAAAAAAAAAAGACTTTTCATATCATATCAGTATCTTTGAGCTACAATTCTTTAAAACTCTTTCCATTGTAGCCAGCCACTGACGTTGATTTCACTTATACCGATGGATGGCATTGGAAGAAATGAGCTATGATAATATTTTTCAAAATCATTTTAGGTAGAAACTAGCTTTGAAAACAATGTCTTTACTTAACAAAATGCCTACTATGTAGACAATTATAGACTATTTTTACACCTTTTCTGCAAAGGCATGAGCATTTCTGAGAACAAATTTGTCAGTGAATAAAGTTTATCGGGTTGAAGCATGAAGATCCTTCCAACTTCTGTAGAAGTATGAAGTCACAGGAGCACATTTCTAAAATGCTACCATGTTATAATACTAGTTACTCAACCAATAAAGTATATTTACTGAGTATCCATTAAGTGGTGGCTTCTGTTATTTTGAAGCTCCTGCAAAAAGTGGAAAAAGTCAGGAGTAGTGGCTCACACCTGTAATTCTTGCATTTTGGGAGGCTGAGGCAGGTGGATGCTTTGAGCCCAGAAGTTCCAGACTAGCTTGAGCAATGTGGCAAAGGCCCCGTGTCTATAATTTTTTTTTTAAAAAGAGTAGAATAACCCTCTTGTTGAAAATGTGCAAAAGAACAAATGTATTATGACTTGGAATATCCAGAGAAAGTAAACCAAGAAAGAACACTAATGTAAACTGTGGACTTCGGGTGGTGATGATTTGTCACTGTAGGTTTGTCAGTTGTAACAGAGGCACCTGTCTCATGGGGGATGTAGATAGCAGGAAGGCATTGCATGTAAGAACGTTAGGGTATATAAAGACCTGGCATGGTAGCTCACGCCTGTAATCCCAGCACTTTGGGAGGCCAAGGTGATGGATTGTCTGAGGTCAGGAGTTCCAGACTAGCCTGGCCAACAAAGTGAAACACCGTCTCTACTAAAAATACAAAAATTAGCTGGACATGGTGGTGCATGCCTGTAATCTCAGCTACTCAGGAGGCTGAGGCAGGGGAATCGCTTGAACCTGGGAAGCAGAGGTTGCAGTGAGCTGAGACTATGCCAGTGCACTCCAGCCTGGGCCACAGAGAAAGACTGTCGCAATAAATAAATAAATAATAAAAGAGGATATATGGGAAATCTCTATTCCTTCCTCTCAATTTTATTGTAAGACTAACAGTTTTGAATTACAGGACACATCTCATCCCAAGAGTTTTGGATGTGAGATTGTGGACAAAAATACACTGAAAGGGAGAAAGGAAGGAAGGAAGAAAAGAAAACAGTTGCATTCTGTTTTATCCCTTCTCTGATTTCTTGAAAACTCCTAGTTTTTTATTTCCATGCAGGTCCCCATTATTATAATGGTCCATTTTTTAATTGAAATTTATTTTCAGTACTAAAGTGCACAGAAACCTAGAAATATAACTGTGATTTCTACTCAGGTAGACCTTAAAGGTTTTTATATGAATGCCTGTAGCCTGCATGTTGTTTCTATAAGTCTATTTCAATAGAGTTCTCAGAAATGTAAATTTTTTTTGCCTTTCATTCTGGGTAGAAATGTCAGAAATGTGAGACTAAGGATTTAAAGCATAAATTAGGAGTTTGTTGATGAAAAGAAAGGAGGAAAGGGTTGAAAGAAAGAAGAAAGAAAGGATGGAAGGAAGGGAGAAAGGAAAAATAGAAGAAAATAAGAGAAAGGAAAAAAGAAAGAAGTCTTAGTCTGTAAACTCTACATTGATGTTTCTCAATGCTTAAGACATCTTGAAAGAAAAGATGTCAAAGGCAAGTTCTAATATTATTCTAAACCTGCAATCCAGTTCATCCAAACATAAATTTAAATCTAAATCATTTGGAAGAAAATATTTATCCTATATTTTTGTTTAGAGCTGATATTCATAATATCTCATATATTATAGAGATCCATATTATAGAGATTATATATACAAATATTTCATTACTTATGCATAAAACCTGATTTGTTGAGGGACATAAACTATGGCTTTCTCAGGTATCACTGCTGCTTGATTGTTCTGAGTATTGGCTTTCTGACAGGGATTGGAATGAAGCCATTTTTATTAATTTAGTTATTTTTGCTGATATAAAAGGCCGTCTATCATGTTAATGATGTATCAGTCTGCGGTCCCACCGAACAATAATTACAGAATGTTCCTAATAGTAAATCATTTGTCACAATCACAGCTCAGTACAACAACCTTTTGTTGAGTGGGGGAAGACATTATCTGAATAGCAATACACCTTTATTCGAAGTGATTAGAGGTCTTACATGGAGCAGTCCGGCAAATACCTGAGCATTCCACGTCTGAACCGTCCATCCCCACATTGTAACCTGGGGATGTGCACTGTGAGCTGCTGAATTTTCTCCAGTGTTAACCTATCTGACACAATGAAACCAACACGTTCTGCCCAGGGAAGAACACATCAGGTTTCATAAGAATCTAAGAGGGAGACTGCTCTGAAAAAGAGGAGAAGCCAAATGATCAGAAAAAGGAAACGTTTAAAGGTTTTTACTTCCATTTCCCCTTTCACCAAGAATTGGGCACAGAAAGGATACAATACTCAAAAAGAAAACTTGACATTAAGAAAAAGGCATTGCTATCGAAATGAAATGAAAACCCCATCATCAGAAAGACATAATGGTCAAGTTCTTCTCTGTAAGGATTCACAAATTGCTTTCAGTTTTTTTTTAGCACTGTATGTAAATCGTTAAGAGCCAACATTGATGGAGTATTTTCTACGTGTAGGGAAACTTTTCAAAATAGATGTAATTTCCTCTAGAACAGTTTCAGGTTCACAACAAAACTGAGTAGAAGTTACAGAGATTTCTCATATAGCCCCTGCGCCTCCACCCCTTCTCCCACTCCAGCCTCCTCCCCCTTGTTACAATTGATAAACCTACACTGACACACTGTTGTCACCCCAGGTCCACAGTTTACATCAGGAACTCTCTTAAGGACTTAATATGCATTAATTCTTTTCATAGTTTCAAAGACTTTGATATTAGCTCCATTTTAGAGAAAAGGGAATTGAGGCAGAGAAAAGTTAAGTCAAATCAGGGTGATTTCTGAGATTTAGCCAATTTCAAACCCTACGCCAGTTGATTAACTACTTCTCATTATTGAAGCACCCCCGTGAAATAAATCAACAACATTTCTTGAGCACCCATTTATTGATTTTTGGTGAGATGATGTCGACCATGCTAGTTGGGCAAGAGTAACCCCATTTAATCGATGAAGTAACCCAACTTCAAAGCAGGAAAAGCTAGTATTCTAATTCGGGTCCATTGAGAAGAAGCCTGCATCTTATCACATGGCCTCTGCCCCATATCTCCATATTCTGTAGGAAAACCTGCCCAGTTAATGAGTGAGTGTGTCACGCATGGCTTGAGTGGCTGTGTTTTTTATAATAATGATACTCAAACTTGAGGTACATGGATTTTATAAAATAACAGAAAAAACTAACTTCACTTTAAGGCTATGTAGTTCTATTTTTTATTTTCTACATGTGAATTCTTGATTAGACATTTTATTGAGATAGGTATGAGTGTATATACAGGAAGAAATTCTAAAATACTTGTGCATTAAGCCCAGTGACATGAAAATAACCTCAAGATCAATTAAAATATAGGAATTAGAGGGAGCTATAAGGTGTGCTATGAGTTTAAAAGACCACATCACAAAAAAAAAAGATTTTTTTAAGCATCAAAAATACAAATTGTTCTAGAAGTCTATGTGCTTTTCGATAAAATTAGAGAGCTCAATTATACCAGGAATCCTTTTTATAGTGTTTTAAAAAGCCGTGCTTAGGGGACTTTCTCTTTGCCCCAAAATGAATTTGGAAGCCTCAAATTAGGATTCAATGGAATAACTTGTAAGTGCCCTCTCCCCTCAGACACTTATCCTTTCTTTTATTCTCTAGAATTTTGTGGGTGGTATCCTTGGACTCTTAACATGCAAATCAAACTTGCTTTTTTCGTGTCAAATCCAAAATACCAATTAAGTTGAACAGGCAAATGAATATGCTTATAAATTTTTGACAGCCACTGATAGCAATAGGCAAGTCCTTGGACATATGTTGAAATCAGTTATCAGGGGACACCAGAGGACCAGAAAGTTGTTTTTTGCCAAGCCATTGCAACCACCTTTCCTCACATTGGCCAGATGGCCTGGAGGTGGCACTTACAGCTGCTTCTGGAAGGAACATGCCACAAACACACAGGCACCCTTGACACTGTCACTGCACTGCTTTCCAAAGGGAAGACGTCCTGTTTGGAAAAAAAAAGAGAAAATCAAATGGCTTCCTCTTGCCCCAACCTCACTGTACCCTACCCCTATATTCTGTCCAGAAGAAAAATCCCTCAGCCGCAATGGTTGTTTTTATTAAATTCTCCTCAATAAAAAGCTCAGGCAGGATTTATTAGGTACTCAGGGCGGACGTTTAGTATTTCGCCAGTTATTAAGTGAAAATCAATAGAAAGCAAAGAAAATGGAAGTCACTGCACTGTTAGCGCACCGTTGTCGCCCAGATATTATGTCGGCTGTCTTGTAGATTCATGACAGACGAAAGAGGCCGGGAGAGAACTTTCTGCTTACATTGCACGAGCCAAAGTGGGGTTATTCATTAGAGCAGGCAGCCGGCCAGATGGATTTCCAGTTCAGTTTTACCATTTATCTTTAAAACGCCTGTATCGAGTGAGAAAGAACACTGATATTATGTGATATCAATGGCAGGTTTATGTATCTAAATCAGGATTTATTGTTATTTTGTTCCAAAGACCTTTTTTTCTCAAGAAATACCATTTCACTGGAAGAAAATAATAGCTAAAACCTTGTCAAAGATAACCTTTCATGCTGTCCGTGCACCACTAGCTGTAAAACAAATAGAACCTGGTATATAAATAGTTTTAGCCACATCCTTACAAATCATTTCTTCTGAATCTGTTTCCCCCATTTCAATGTATATATATATATATATTTTTATGCCACATACATGATTTTGGGCCATTCAGTGTTTTCTTTGCCTGTAGTTTAGCTCTAAATAATGTCAGCAGTTGTTTTAATTGCATCTAAAAGCTTTAGCTGTTTTGTGTTCTTCTGTGGAATGCTACATTTCTCAAAAGCATTCTTTGGAAAAGCAAAGTGATCTGCTATTTTTTTTTCCCCCGCCTTAGAAAGAGCTTTAGAGTCAAAAACACCCATCATCTTTTTTCAACTACTTTAGGGTCTTCAAAAGCCAGGATATGTTTTCTTTTCACTTGAATTAACATTTTTGGTAGCGTCCGGGTTTTCTGATTCTCTCTCATGTAAAAGAGATTACAGCAGTCGGGCAGATCGGATCTCGAGTCAATCCTGCTAAGTAACGAAGGTGGCCAAACACTTGGATGAACCATTGTACCCTCTTTATAAATAGCTCCCAAGAAAAAGCAGTCGATCTCTTTACAAAACGTCATTAGTGACACTTTGTGATTAGGAGAAGAATTACACCTGGGTTTTGACTGAAACTGTTTGCTAATAAAGAACTGTAAATGTATTTTTAAGCTACTTTATTTTTACTTTTTCTATTAAAAAGTAAAAGGTTATTTAAAGACCAATATGCACTCTCTTTGTTTGTTTTTTGAGACGGAGTCTTGCTCTGTCACCCAGGCTGGAGTGCAGTGGCATGATCTCAGCTCACTTAAACCTCTGCCTCCCAGGTTCCAGCGATTCTCCTGCTTCAGCCTCCCGAGTAGCTGGGACTATAGGTGCATGCCACCACTGCCGGCTAATTTTTTGTATTTTTAGTAGAGATGGGGTTTCATCATGTTAGCCAGGATGGTATCCATCTCCTGACCTCATGATCTGCCCACCTTGGTCTTCCAATGTGCTGGGATTATAGGCGTGAGTCACGGTGCCCGGCCAATATGCACTATTAAGTGTCACCGACTTAGAAAATTTTTCTAAACACCAACTGAAGCATTTTGCTACCACTGGACAAAAGTGATATTATATTGAAGAGTAAGAAAATAAAAGTAAAAAACAGATTATAAATTACTTGTTCCTTGATAGTGTTCTTTATAGCTAAATTCTTCAATCAAATTGAAGAGCTCAATTGTACCAGGAATCTCTTCTTGTAGTTTTCTATTTAGCAGTTTTTCTCCTTTTAAATCTGCATTGACGACAATCCAAACTGCATTTTCCTTTTAGATGGCACCCTCCAATAAAACACAGGAAGGTCTTTATAATTCTCCCTTTTTCAGCAAAGCCATTCTAAAACCCTATATGTATTTATGCATGTGTGTCTGGACCTGTTGATGGGGTGGGCAATAAAGAACAGTGGTTAAGAAAATGAACTCTGGAACTAGATTACATGAGTTCAAATCACAGTCTGTCACTCCTTGGCAGTATGATTTGGGGAAGTTATTATAGCACTAAGCTTCAGTTTTCTCATCTGCCTAAAAAGGTAATAACCTTATAGATTTCTTGACAAGAATAAAGGGGTCAATATAGGTAAAGTTCATAGATTATTACTTGCTTGATATTAAGTCCTCAAAGCATTAGGTAGCTATTTCTTCGATTACACAAAATCCAGAACAGCAACTCATCCATGCTGATGCTTTGATTTGCCAACGAAATGGGATATCGTCTCATGGAGATTCAATTAACCCTCCATTTTCATATTTCTTTATGAATCTGGACCCTGCAGAAAGATTGAGTCTCAAGTTTCAGCTGTAAAGAGAATCTCAGTTAAACCTAAATTTTGTATTAAATAAATTCGCCTTAAAGAAAAATCTCTTTTTTGTGGGATCACCATTCAATCTGAAACTGTAAAAAGAGTCTATGGACCTAACCACACTGTTGATTTATTAATAGCTGTACTATGACAGTAGTCATGAGCCCCAATATCTGATTGGGGACCTATTTGTAGACATCTTAATTTGTTGAAAACAATGTCTAGTTATTTCATTCTAACAAATAGCATTAGCAACACATACAGTTATGAGAAAGAAATGATATTGCTAATTAATATGACTTGAGCAGTGAGAAAACTAAGACATTAATGCCAAAGAAAATGAAAGTTGATGACTTGGGTTCATTGCCCATGTGCACCACGTCACTTGAATAGTTGCCAACGCTGCCTCTTACTTTGACTTTATAATACCGGCCCACTAGCCTTTTATCTTGCTTTCCCTCTCTAGACGTCAGGCTTCTTACTTGTAGAGGGAGTATAATATGCCTTCTTTATTCACCCTACAGTTGGGGGCTGAAGGAGAAAGCATAAAACGCTTATTAAAAGAAAACAATGCCATATACAGTCAGACTGGTGAGAAAAATCAGTGCAATTAATAAAACGTTGATGTTAGGAAAGAGTGACTACTGTCTATTTTATTGCCTATTCATAGGTTCTCCTATGTTTGTTCAACAAAAATTGTTTGAACACCAAGGGCATGGAGGTTCAGAGCTTAAGTTGGCCCCAGCTGCCTGTCCCCACCCTCTCCTCTTCCTCTGGGTGTCTGTGAGATCCTGGCTAGTGGTTTAACCTCTCTGTGCCTCAGCTTTTTGTTTGCAATATTGGGATAACAACAGTAGTCAGTTATGTACTAAAGGAGATAAATAGTACTGACTCATGTATTAAGTAAGATCATACATATAAAATGCTTAGAATAGTGCCTAATAAGCACTCCATTATATTTTCACTAGCATTTGCTTTCTACGTGCACAACATAATGCTGATCAATTCAGAAGACAAGACCCTGACCTCATGAGCTGATCAGAAAATCAGCTTTATCTTAGATCAGAAAATTCAGAAATAACATATAGGCAACTTTTATAGGGTGGGGTAATAAAAAAGGACAACCCAACTCTTATTGAAGGCATGAGATGGAGGTAGAAAAGACTTCCTTGTGGAAGTGATAGCTAAGCTGAAAAATTAAAGATGAAGTGAGAAGGTAAAGATGGCTATACGCTGGGGGCAGTGGCTCATGCCTGTATTCCTGCCACTTTGGGAGCCCGAAGTGGGTGGATCACAAGGTCAGGAGTTTGAGACCAGCCTGGCTAACATGGTGAAACCTCATCTCTACTAAAAATACAAAAATTAGCCCAGTGTGGTGGGTGCATGCTTATAATCCCAGCTACTCAGGAGGTTGAGGCAGGAGAATTGCTTGAACCCAGGATGCGAAGGTTTCAGTGAGCCAAGATCATGCCACTGCACCCCATCCTGGGCAACAGAGCAAGACTCCATCTCAACAACAACAACAACAAAAGGTGGCTATAAACCTGAGGTATTTAATAGAACCCTCTTCAATAAATGAATGGCCTACAGCTGCATTTTCCAATATGGTGGCCAGAAGCCACATACGTCTATGGCAGGTTTGAAGTGTACCTAATGCATGAGAGGAACTAAATGGAGTTCATTCATTTTTATTTTTTTCAAATTTAAATGTAGCCACACATGCCTGGCTAATGCACTGGGCAGTTCAGCTCTACACAGAGGGAAAAACGTGTGCAAAGATCTAGAGATGAGAGAATTCTTACGTTCCAAAGACCTGATATGTTGAAAAGCAGAGCAGATTCTTGAAGGATGTGACTTTTGGAAATTAGCAGAGGTGATGCATGGTTTACTGCAAAGTTCTGGCTTTCTTTCAGGGCCGTGGAAAACCATTGAAGGGTAATAAGGAGAGTGATACAATCCGATTTGAAATTCAGTAAGATCTCTCCAACTACACTTATAATAGTAGCTAGAATTATTAACACTTTATAGTTTACACACTTTTCTGATCATCTGACCTCTCTTATTATTCAAATCACCTGTATGAGATAAATCTGTATTTCCTTTTCTATATCTTATTTATTTTGTATCCAATCAGCAGCTTTTGCTCTTGCCCGTGCCCCTTCACTACATCTTGGAAGACAGATGTGATAAAAGGAACACGTTTGTATGATATCAGTGCACAGACTCATTCATTAGGAGGTTTTATAAATTCATTTGCAAAACAGTTACTTCCAAATGTTTAAGAATCATTTTCCTCATTGTGACCTGAAATGCATTCAGTGGTGGTCCCATGGGCCTTCCACCACTCCCGGCACATTAGTTAACTCGTCTTGCTATTGCCGGCGAGAGCCTGAGCTTCTCTGGGCACACAGAGTGATGAGGGATGAGCCTGCCTTACCTGGCTTCCCGCGGACTTCCTCTCGCTCTCACATCTGTATCCATCCTTGCCTCGCAGACAAGTTGAAAAGAGAACCCGGGCTAGGCAAGGGTATCCACTGCAATATGCTGACAGTCCCTGGCTGCTGACCTGAATCTCCATGTCAGGTCTGAGTAGATAAAAGATGGCATTTTTTGTGAGTGGAGATGAGGAAGGAGCACAGCCACTCTGCGCTGGAATCAGCGCTTCTTCCCAACACATGCACACACATGCAACTTTAATTCAGCAATTCTCTTAGTAAGAATTTTTCAAAAACAACAACAACAAATATGAGCATGTGATTCGATTGCATCAAGTTATTTTCTCTCTTTTTTTTTTAAAGGAGCATTATTAGTAAAATAACACTTAAAAGAAAAAAGCAGGGACTGTAAATGTTGCACTAATTTAATTACACACTGGCACTGTAAGACACTAATGTAAATATTCTGGTGAGTAGGCATAAGACACTTGAAGTAATTACTTAAGGACTCCCTTTCAAAGAATCTCTCCCTTTTTTTATTAAATGCCTTTTAACATTAGCACTTTCTTCCTGACAAATTAAATGAAATTTCATTACTCTCCCCGACTTAATGGCATCAGGCTCCCGCCTAGGTGTGAGTTAACCCTCCCAGGACAGCTGACAAGGGCTCCTACACTCAGTCAAAATGCCACTGTCCTAACTCGCAAGAGAAAGGAAGCCTCGGAGAATCCTTTGTGTTTTTACCAGAGCTTCCAGAATCCTTCATTTCTTTGATGTTTTTTCAGCTGTGATCCTGACAAAAATCTAAGGAACCAGTAGTCTTGTTGTTTTCTAGTGTTTTTGAGTGCACCAACAAAAACCCACCACACACAAAAAGAAGAATATCTTTCACTGACTCTAATAATGACAGCAAGGACAACAATCATAGCAAACAGTTATACAGTGCTTCTTAAATACCTTCTAAGCAATTTACCTCTTTTCCCTCATTTAAGATGCAACAAAACATTGTAAGGTAAAGACTGCTAATTCCTACTCTCAAGTAAGGAAATTAAAGTACAGCGTGGTTGAGCAGTTTACCCAAGGTCACACAGTTAAAAAACAACAGAGCTGGGACTCAACCCAATCAGCCAGTTGTTGTCAGACAATTTTATACATGTAACTATGGAATCTTCAACCCTGGATTGATGTAGACTTATTTCTATATTCCTTTTTACATTTGTGGAAATCAAAACTCAGACATGTTAAATGACAAGGTCTAGTCATGCAATCTGTGTCACCCAGGGTCTTGGAACCAGCCATATCTTCTTGACAAATAAACTTCACAATTAAGTTTCCAAAGGGTGATCTCTGAAAAACAGTGCTTCTACCTACTTCATTATACTTACTAAGAAAAAAAAATCCAACAATTTACTTTTAAAAGAGAAAAAAGGAAATAGAGATTACTATAAGATTGAATTTATTTCTAATACTTTAGGAATTAAACTATAAAGTGACAAGAGAAAAATAGAGAATAACTGTGGGTCTGAAGTCCTTGTCCTACAAATCTCAATATGAACTAAAACAAATATGTGTTAATTTTTGTTAAGAGAATAGTTGAGAAAAACTTCACAAAGTGAACACTGCAAGAGTCTTTCTGTTTTTAGATAGAACTTGGGCTTGGGAGCGTGCGAAAGAGAGACTCCCAGCACAGGTGTAACACCAATAAGAATGGCTTGAGAATGAGTTCACTAATCGATATCCCTGGCATTTTTTATTTAGCTCTCTTTTTCAGGATGCATGGTCATATTTTCTATACACCAAATATTACCTCTAATATGTTTAAAGTCTACTTATTATTTCCTTGTTTAGACCTAACTTTCCTTCTTACTCTTATTTTGGACTTAATTTTATTCTACCTTCCAGGATTTCAATACATTTAGAGGTCTGAACAACACAGAATCATAATGAGAAAACATTCTATCTGGTCAACTTTGAGTATCTGCCGACAGGGCCAACTTTTAATGAGAATGCATTTTCCTTTTGCTTGCCTCTCTCTATCTGAGCCAGTGATACTTCTCTTTGGCTGAAACTGCTTTCTCTACATAATCCTTTTTCCTGTCTATGTCACCAGTAGCTGGGACATCCTGATGTCATGTTGCATCTTACCAAAAGGGTGTCCTTTCTAAGACCTCAGGCCATGTGGAAGAAAAATAATCAGCTCAAAGTTCAGATGACAAATGTTACAAGGGGGAATTTTTTTTTCTCCTCTTGGTTGTTCTTAAACATATGTAGCTTTAAGAATCAGTATGTCCGTGTTTTGAAAGAAGCAAAGACTAAATTTATTTTGGTGTAGTTATCAGATTCTGAGGAGCTGGATCATTTGTTTTCCTCTTGTGAGGTCCAGGTAAAAGTTCATTCCCTCCATGGCCTGGTGCTTCTGACAAACAAAAATCAAGGACCCAAAATAAGTATTTTATCTAAAAAATGTGAACTATCCCAAAACAAACATGAAAAAGCACAGCTGCCAAATTCCACAAGTAAAAAGAGTTAGAGGTTGAGACAGCCCACGATCTCGCTGGGGAGTAATGGGTAAAGTTTGGCCAGCTGCCCTTAAGGCCTTGAGGGACACTCAATCCAATTGCTGTGTCTTAGCAGATGTGAATTTCAAGGTTACACCTGGGTGTTCAAGGGCAGGGCCAAGTGTAATCGGCACTTAGATCATAGATTAATCTTATTTGCCATCTATTAGGTTTGATTCCTTTTCCCTCTCTCCCTCCCTAAAGCCAGGATTATTGTGATAGTTTAAGATAATGGATTCTAACGGAAGAAAAGGTCACGCAGGCATGGAGATTTGGAACCTTAAGATAATATGATTAATCTAAAAGCTTCTTTCTCAAAGGGGAGGGCCACACTTTTCATATGTCTAATTGAGAGAAGAGAGCTGAAAGATCGAGAAAGAGCAACAGCAAAGGAGTGTAAAGAACTGAGTCCTTGTCAACAACTGCAATTAATTATCATTGTCAGGATGATCTTTCATTAGTTTTCACACTAATAAGATAGATTTGCCTCATGCCTGAGGCTGATAAAACCTTATTGGCAATGTTGATAAGAATATGTCAGTATGGAGAGCGATTCATGAACATCTTTATTTTATTTTATTTTTGTAATTTTCCAAAATTAAATGACTAGCTGGATATTGCCAAAAGTGACTACATCTAGTTTTTAAGGCCATGAAATGCAGCAAAATTCTAAGCAACGTGGTTGGCATAATCTAAACAATAAGTAAATGTTAACCATTGTTATAAATGTTATAAATACGTAAGTGAAATATTATATAATCTAAACATTAGGTAAATGATAAAATTGTGATAAATGCTATAAAAATAAGTACATACACATTATATATTTTAAGGTGTGTAGTTTAATCTTATCCCTTTCAGATATTTCAAGATAACCCTAACTAACCAACTTGGAGAGATCCTTAGAAGGAAATTATAGGTAATATTTATTTATTAATCATGAGGCATTAAGATTCTAGGCTTCCGATAAAAACCATTAGTCTCAGTCCACTTGCAAGAAAATTGGAAATTAAATGCAAATATGGATTCTCCAATATCTTCTTTTTACTTTCTTTCTAAGACAGAAACTATTTTACTCTTTATTTATTGTAACTGCTGCAATACTTTCATTATTCTGGCTCATTATTATCTTGGGCTTATTTAAAATGAATAGAAATATGTATCCCCTTGCTTGAAATATATACATGTGTCTTCTCTTATATACATACACATAGTAAAGCCATTTCCATCACATTTAACTTGCTCTGTTGTCTTCATGCTGTTTAAGGCAAACAGCAGAAAAGAGGTATAGACCTCTGTTTGGCCAGTTCTCTTCCAGAGGCTCAAATATGTGGCCTTGGGGAGAAATCTGGTATTTTAATCTGTAATGTGTAATTTTTGAAGTAAGATCCTTCCTTTAACAAATGGAACCCTTTCCTTGGGTTATTCACTTGGTAAAAAGCAGGCAACATGTTTGTTTCCTTAACCAAAATGACAGAATAGGAGAGGAGGTGATTCCTTGGTGTGCAAGATGCAGTGCAAGGGCTATAGAGTGGCAATACAATTAGAATGTGAGATATGGCTGTTTAAAACAATCTGTGAGGTAATAATATATGTCCATCATCATTCAGTGAGATTCTCAAGACTCTGAACAGTATTAAAGCTGTACAAAATCATTGGTTCTCAATAAGAACCATGTAGTCTAGCATGAAAACCAGCTGTATCATGAGTGGAAGCGCCTGCATTCAAATCAGGCTAACACACAGTTGCTTTAAGATGAAGTGCGGATAAGGTAGAGCAAATTGATGCTGAGCATGTGCAAAAATAAAACACATCCCTCTGGGTAAAACTTGCTTTTGTGGAAATTTGAAACTTTTCACTAAATAATGCTGTAATTCATTGACTTCCCAACTTGAAAATATATAAGTCAGTCATAAATTCATTCTGTAACCCAAAGAGGTGAAAAAATATTTGTAGTTTCTAGAACAGACCATTATTTTCCTATGCTCTAAAACCAAATTTTGATTGCATTTTAAAAGTCTACTTTTTAACATGTGTAAAAATGAAGCATTTGGGAGTATAAGAAGACAAAACATGGGGATTTACATGCTGACCCCTAGTCAATTTCTGGCCAGTTATTACAGGTGGTTGATATTGAAATGTTCTGGACCAATGTATAATATCAGCTCTTAAATGTTTTGTTTAATTTCAAAGTTTGATAATGGCAAAAAGAAACAAATATTATGTGCTGCAATCTCATCTACTGTTCAGAACAACCACTGTACAACACACCAAAGCAAACACAAAACAAACACTGGTTTTGTCCATTCTGTTTATTCTGAGCTGGAAAGTTCCAGGAGGGCTGGCTAGGCCCCTGTCTGTCATATTCCTTCCTACCCTAATCTCATTCTCACATTCTGATTTTTCCTATCCTCAGAAGAAGGTGTTGGCATTCAGCAACCCCCATACATCAAAGCTTTACCTAATATATGACGTGTTTATTCTTCCCAGGCACGGGGCATATCACTCTCAAATGACTGACAACAACTCTAAAATGAGGTGGGCCCAAAGTGAGCTCTAATAGTTATGGGAAGCCTCTCTAGTCAAACATAAAAGCAAATTAATGTGAGCCCCCTCCTGCACCTTCAGTCTGGAAATGTCATAAAGTAATAAGCATGGATACCCTCATGATGTCAAGGAGTGGATTTCAATAGATTTACATATTAAAGGCACAGGACACATTTCATCTGCTCTATTATCAAACTTGTAAGTTTCTAAATTCTAAGTTCTTTATTTTAAAAATTAGTTCTCATAGTGGGCTGAATGCACAGAAGAATAATGACATAAATGCAATTATATATCTATTTCACCCATTATAGTTTAATTTTAAAGGGTGAATTAAACAAAGATTTAGAAAAAAATTATACTGCTATGAATTACCTGTATTTCTATGATGTCAGAATGTGTTTGTGTGTATGTATGCATCTCTCAAGAGTCGTGTAGAGAAACAAACAAATGAAGGAAATAGAAAAAGAAACAGTATGAATTGACAACAAATTTTTAGTTAATTCTGATTTACCTCCCTCTAGCAGTGCTGGAGAAAGTGCTCAAAAAAATGTTGATAGGCTCCATTATTGTTTGTCGTAGCAGACTTAACAAAAACAAACTCAACATTTTTTTTCAATCTTTGAGCCTCTAATATCCTAAAACATCAGGTCTAAAAATGTATCACAAAGCCATCTTCTCTGTGACTAAATGACTGGAAAAGAGATAAGCCTTTATGTCCCTGATGATCAGCTTGCTTGAGTAAATTCCTTTGTTATCTGGTTATGTTCGAGATGACTTTCCTACCATGTCGGTCATCAGACTAACCAAGTAAGTTGCTAGTATGCCAAGCGAACCCAAGGCATGCCTATGCACATTTATAGATATTTTCTGTTTCTCTCTCTCTTTCTCTCATGCGTGCACACACACACATACACGCACATGTGCACGCGCACACACACACACACACAAGTTTTGCTTATTCCCTCTGGAAGCAATAAAAAACAACTGAGCACTGTGCATAAAATTGATAATATACATGAGC